TGAAAACACCACTGATGATGGGTAGAGAGCCAGTGCGTTGGAGGCCTTCTCTTTTGGGGGAAGGGGGAAGAAAAGTGTTTTTTATGTAGAGCTAGGGCATGAAAAATACACAGATTTGAATGCCACGGCATATGTAATGTATGTAATGGCTCAGAGGTGTGTATTTCTAAAATCAGCTTCCCCTTTTTTTAAACCCATCTCTCCATAACCAGGCAGCCTGCTGCTGCATCAGGAATTTACTGCTGTGAGCAACCATAAACATTGTGCTAATAGCAGCACTGCCCAAGGACGGACATGGCAGAGTGCAGTGTGCGCACTTAAAGGCCACAGACGATATTTTCTACTCTCTGCACACCACAGGGCACGCACATTATCATCTGACATAACGGGGAGGTACTTTAATAATTATTATTATTAAAAGCAAACAATCAACTCCACAAATCAACAGCTCTTTTAAAACAGGTTTTCTAATCTCCGTTTCCTCTCAGATGTATGGTTATTGTCCACCTGGAAAGGCCCCAAAGTGATAGCCAGAAATCTGCTACCACCACCCCTTCTGCTGTTCCTGCCGTCCTATTTAATTGTGTTTGCTCAACTCGAAGCCAAACTCATATGCAGTATATTTAGATGGTTAAAATAGCATAGCATTCCTCTGTATTCACAGATTATTTTCAACACCACAATTCTTGGGAATTAGTCTGGAATAAATAAGGTAAAGCAACATAAATTTGTTCCAGTGACAAAGAAAACAATATCAAAATAGCAATCTGGAGATTCGCCATGAATGAAGGGATATACAGTGTCCCTCCTGGTGAACTCTCCTGCAAATGCAATCACTGTCTCATTCGCTAGTCTGGATTTATTTTAAAGTGAGTGAGAAAGAAAGCAAGGAACTAATAGTAAGAAACTGATTCAAAAGATCAATGTACAATCACTGTACTTACTCTTACATAGCATTAAAGGTAGAGGTGTAGAACTGATATATATGTTGATTTTCTGAACCTCTGAGGAGTCTTTTTTCCCCCCACAATAGCAAACTTTCTAAATTGAAAAACATCTATCATTAATACATATTCAGGATCTCTCTCTGAGGTTTCAGCTGCTACATTTTTTTTTTCAAATGCGTTGAACACTGCAAATTTACAAAGGCTTGGTTAGATACTTCTGTCAGCTAACACTACCTTAAATTTTTCAACTTGTGTTTTTAGGGTTGTTTAACAAATAGAAACCCTATCACCCAAATGTCACAAGATTTCTGAATCGTGGAGTAAGGAATCGATTCTGTTGCTGAACAGGATATGACTTGAACTGGATTAATTAAAAATAAAGACCAGTGTTCCATGCTTTTACTTCACATAATAATAAAAACAGGCATTTTAAATATACAGAGCTTAACCAGATATTCAGCCCAATTTGGAAGAGGAGAGAACATCCAGGTCGCTTATTTTTTTTTCCCTTGAGATTTTCCATAGTGTATTTCTAGTATCTACATGACTATCAATTCAAACTCACATTTAGAGAACGCCAAATCTGTGCTCATCTGTCAGGGGCTGACTTTTCCCCTGTATTGTTATTCTTCATTTTTCTGTTAACTAATTCAACAAATATTACTCAAAATCTATTGTGTGTCTAATAGCCATTCTAGGTACTGAAGACACAGTTTGAGTAAAACAGGTAAGGTGCTATTATCATGGAGCTTATATTCTACCCCGGGGTGGGGGGTAAGATTAGGAGACAACAAACAGAATGAGTTCAGATAGTGCTAACTCAATTAAGAAAGCACAGAATAGAATGCTCGGGTGGCATGGAGGGTAACTTCAGATGGGAAATAAGGAAAGGCTTTTCTGAGAAGGTAACATGTACCCCAGATGGACAACACGGCAGCAACCATGTGAAAAGCTGAGGGAACTGCAAGTACAAAGACCCTGAAATGAGAAAGAGCTTGGAGAATCCCAACAATAGGAAGAAGACCATGAACTCAGAACACCATGAACCGGGGAAAAGTGTTTGGAGATGAGACCTGACAGTGAGCGGAGGGCACATCCCTACCAAGTTCTCAGGCAGTCACTTTAAGATTCGTTCTGCCTTAGGAATCAGCGCAGAACCAGCTGGTGAAACAAATACCAGTACCGTCTGTCACACAGATATGACTGGCACCACACATCTCCTTTCTCACGTGTCTGAACTGTCCCTCACATAGTCATCTCTTGAGTATCTCCTAAGTGACTCACCCTGCTTCTTGCCCATTTTCTCATTGTTTTCCAAAGCCATGATGGAAGTCTGATTGACTCCAGGCTTGGGGTCTTTAGAGAATAAGTCCATGAATGGTCTGCTTATGATATTGAATTTGAAGACAAGGCACAAAAGAATTTAGAAGGTGAATAGAAAGGATTCCCTTCTCCTCAACTTTTTTCGAATTTGTGCATTTGTGTTCACTCTTCTTTGTATCATTATGTCCTCAGATAATAACTGCAGTCTCCTATATATATTTACCTAAGTGCAGAGATAGATTAGTATAAACATACTACCAATTCAAGACAGAAGAAGAGAACAAGTTTAATTGCTGAGTTTGAGAAAAAGAATTGAGCCTATTTCAGCTCAACTCCTGTAGGTAGTTCACAGTAGTATGTAAAAATGTCACTTTGTGGACGTAGGATAACATTCATAACTCTCATTCTAAAGCTTAGTGTTCTGTAGTCGCATTTTCAAATGCATATTTTCCAATAGCCATGTTGTCGAAAATTCAAGGCACTGTTTAAAATAAACAAATCAGCATTTTCAAGTAAGTCCAAACAAAAAAGTGCCTTAGAACAAAAAACAGAAATCATTTCCTTACCTGGTCAATTAATCAAGTCTCATAAATAACATTCTTAAAATAAATGGGCAAATACTAAAAATGATTAAAACTCTCAGGTATCTTTCATCTTTCTAAGGTAGATCAATTATGCTCATTGCAGCTTGTCCTATGTAGTATTTGGAGTAGAATGCCTTTCATAGCATTCTTTAAAGTTCCAAGGTTCTTATTAAGGTGATGGTCTAGCTGTTTCTATTAAATATTCATGACCCTTTTCCAAGAAAACTGTTTTTTTTTTTTTAATGTTTTATTTTTTATTTATTTCTAGGAGAGAGAGAGAGAGACAGCATGAGCAGGGGAGGGTCAGAGAGAGAGAGTCACAGACTCCGAAACAGGCTCCAGGCTCTGAGCTGGCAGTCAGCACAGAGCCCGACGCGGGGCTCGAACCCACAAACCGCGAGATCGTGACCCGAGCGAAAGTCAGACGCTTAGCCGACTAAGCCACCCGGACGCCCCAAAGAAAACTGTTTTGACCTGTTACTTCTGGCTAAATTTGTGGGAGTTCTATTTTCTCATTCTTACACATGCTATCTCAGGGAAATAGACTTTAATAGCTATGGTCCTAAATGAAGTTCATCTAAAATCGTTAAAACAAAAACAAAAACATGCAATTTTGTTAAAAACACAAATTCACTTCAAAGTGAATATTATACATAGCAAATGCAGAAAGCTTTGAAGGATGGGTTGCCCCCAGAGCACCATTTAGTGGATTGGAAGCAACAATTCACAGCTTCAAACACTCAGTACGACAGAATGCAGTGAATCAGCATAAACTCAAAACTTTACAACAGCAGGGAAAACCTGACTTATCTTTCCTAGTTGGTTTCCAGACAGACATTTAACATCGTGTAAACATCACACAACCATAGATTCAACAATAACCTGGTCTTCCCTCTACCACCCCCACCTCCCGTCTCCCAAGCAACTTTGGGAGATGACAGGAGCCACTCTGGGGGACTTGTACACGACCACAGTGCATTTCAAACTACTGCCTGCCAGGCGGTAAGCTTGCTGGGAGAAGGCTGTCCTTGATGGTAAAGCTAGGTCGTTCAGTTTTGTCCATCATGGGTAGGAGAGCTTCCTTCAGGGGTGCAATATTAGCAATACCACTGTGACCACACATTTAAGCTACAGCTTTTACTGGCAATAAAGGTCCCTTTATAAACCTCCATTTAAGAAGTTATGGGAAATACTGGTTATCGCCCCCTCCTGATATTTTCAAATATGCACCAGATTTGTCAAGGATGATTTGACAATTCTATTATGTCACTGTCATTGCTGTCAGGAAAAAATACCTATTTAATATTTGTATCCAAAAGATCTGGAAAAACATTCTACATCACAAAGATTCTATAGAAAATAATTATACTGAGCTATAAGCAAACAAATGATACTTGAAATTAAAATGTTGCACACATATGTAGCTTATGTGAAAATGTCACACTTGATAGAGAAATCCAACTTTTCAAGATTACACCTTACAGTTTTCACCGAAGACTTTAAAGTGTTTTAAAATCTATATTAATTGGTCCAACATAAAAGGAAATTATCATACTTTTCTGCAAAATAAATTACATGTGTAGGTTCCTAGGGTAAAATCACGTTATCATTTTATTAGACTGTCCTCAGGTGTGCATGTGTGTATGTGAGCGTGTGTTTACGTGTGTGTAAAATAATATGCAACTGAAGCTTTAGCAACAAAGTGCCAAAATTACTGGCTTCAAAACAAAAAATTCAATCATGACAGTTTTACTTACATGTTTCCCCTGATTAGACTGGTTGATTCGGCTTGGCATTTTGTACGCATTCATTAAATTATTGTAAACAAATACATAGTATTATAATGACATTCAAGTTGCTAACTTTTGATGTGTACAATGTTGCACTATTATACACATTAAAAAATATTTCAAATTCACCCTAAAACCAACTAATTTCATCTCATAAAAAATTTTGTACTGCCTTTTGTAAATACTTACTATGGATAAACACCATTTAGAAAGTATACTTGATCTACCTCCATATTTCTCTCTCTCTCTCTCTCACATATATATATATGTGATATATATAATATATGAAGGACATATATACATTTATATATATCCTTTTCCCCCAACCAGATCCCCCAAATCACAAATCTCATTACCTGTTTTTGAGCAGTACACTGAAGGTCATCTTATCCAGTCCCAGATAATTTGGCAGCAAGTTTGACCAATTCCAGCTCCATTTTGTGATGGCTGACTGTTGATAAATGGGAAGACGCTATTGTTAGTTATTAATCAGAGTTAATATGATCAGTAAATTAAAGCTCCAGCTGTGATAGACTAACTAAGAAGGAGGGGGTTCCAGAACAAGGACTTAGACAGATAGCATCAATCATGTCCACAGAAGAAGGTTTTTATTCCAATAAGACAGCAATTAATTTATAAATCCATTTGGGAATGTAGTCATTATTTATAAAAATATAAATCAATTTCTTGAGTCGTTATTCTTCCATGTGCTAATGGCATTTGCCCAACAAGTTTCTCTAAGAGGGTGACTCTTTTAAAACTGAAATAATCAGCAACTTTTTCATCTATCAATTCAGGGTTTTTACTTTTTAGCATCCAGAGCTCTGATGTAAAAAACAAGCTTAGAAGTGCTAAGGACTCAAATTACAAGACACAGCTTAATTAGAGTGTAATATCAATGTTATTTTGGTTAAGAACGTGCTTTAAAGGGGAAATGAGAAGGAGCTGTGAATGTAAACAACATTGTTTTTTCTCATTTAATAGGTAATTTCACAACAGAGTAAAGAGGAAAAATTACTGTGAAAGATAATCTCATAATTCAGAACGGAATAAAACATGCCATTTATTTAAATAAAGTGGGGATAATTCAACAGCTACAATGATTATTTATGGTTTGGAGCTGTCTAATGTACAACATAGAGAAGCAGCCAATAAACTCAAACTTATACAAATGTATTTGGTTTTCACGTATTATAGATGCTTGTATTCCTTAAAACGAAATAGTTGTGCTAACAAGAGTCCAGGCCGATGCTTAAAATCCTCAAGAACTATGCCCTGTCACTTGCTGATTAATGGAGCACCACAATCCTGTCATAGAGCAGGAGAATTCTGCCCCGGGTTGTCAGCATATGAAGGTCTTATTCTACTACAGTATTGATGAATGTAGACTAGGGTCGTAACAGGCATGGCAAAAATATTATCTGCATCCCGAATTAGGCCATTGTTTTAATTCGTATTTTCGTCAGAGCTCTAGGTCAAGCAATCCTTCTCTTCTGCCCCGTTACTTCAAATCGTCTGTCAAAAGGCTCTTTCCTTTTTTATTCAGCAAAAGGACAAACAAAGCAAAGGCAACTTTAGACTTTAAATACTTTGGTATAAATAGGATCTTTTTCATGTAACGACTGAAGTGTGTAGCTTCAACAGTGGCGTAATCTGACGTTAGAAACGTGTGGTATTTATCACGTTGACTTTATTCCAAATATCCTGACTTAAACATCAGGAATATGTTCAGGGTTATAAAAAGGGAAACTTACTTCATGCCACTCAAAAGAGGAGCTCAAGGCTTTACTTATAAACTCTCATTTTCCTGGTAAATTAGATAAATTCATAAAAATGGCTAAGTGATCTTTGAGTGTGTGGATTGGGGCTGCAGGTGGGCACAAGAGAGGGGAAAGACTGCTACAAAACGCCTGGTTTTTCGGGCCTTCTGTAGACACAGCCAAACAGATGTTCCCACTGCCCATGGTGAGCTGACATGGTCAAAAGTTAAATTACACAGACCAAACATATGAATCAGTTTGACAAATAGAAGAAGGTATAATAACTATTTCAAAGTCAATTCGTGTATATGACATATATAAGAACAATGCCTTTTGCTTCCTAGCCAAAAAAAAAACACCTAGAAAAAAGGAAAAAAAAGAAAGCTTATGAGTAAGTTTTCAGACACAAAGCACCTTTTATCCCTATATATGTAAAAAAAAAATCACACATTTAAGGTAAACTTACTATTTTCCACATACCTGATCTAACATGTTTTCACTAAACGCCTTGTACACATGGAAAGGGTTAAAGGCAGAAGGCTGATCTTCCACACTTCTCAAGGTCGTCTTTAAAGGTCTGACAGGTAATGGCTTTTCCTCTGAACCATTCATAGAAAACAGCTGTTCTTTTAAATATTCCTTCAAGGGGGAAAAAATTACAAGTTGTGACGGTGGGAAGCATATATTCTCTTTAAAAATACACTGATCAATATCCAAATCTACCCTTTCAGCACATTTGCTAGATTACAGTGTATTACTTGCCTCAGGACAGAATACATTTTCAGAAGAAACATAGTAGAATACCAATCAGCATTGCAATAAACCCATCAAAAACAGGTTCACCTAATATATAGGATAGATTAGAAAGCCATTTAACAAATTCTCACATAATGAATGTATGCTTGATATATCAGAATGTTGTTAATAGGCATTGTCTTGTCATTGGTTCATGTGTTAACATGTCTGGTTACCAAAACTTAACTCAGATGCATGATTACTCACAGTACAAGATTGCTCATTCATTCATTAAGTGTAGTTGTTATCTACTCCATGCTCAGCAGAGTGCTAAGTACTTGATATTTATTTCACTGCAAGCAATCTTACTCTATGTAGAATTAATTGTAATTCAAACTCCTAAATTCTATTTCCATGCTCTCGACTGAAAAATATCAAGGTTCAAAAGAAGCTCAACATACGTAAGTCTAACACCCCAACTGCCAGTGGCAGCCTGGGCAAAAAAGCCAATCTACTACATTATATTTCATTTTCCATCCATAAATAAGGTGAATGATCCCAAACTATTTTATTAGACTTTTCCTAGAAGACAACAATTAAAATGACTTACAGTTTCCTATAAACTATCAAATAGTAGTGACTTACTAAGTCATTTAATACATAAAAGAATACAAATATTCCTCTGATTTTCAGTTTTTCTTCAAGAGTAGAACTAGGTTCTCAACGTTAGAGCTGAAAAGGATGTCAGAGGTCATCTGGAAAACCCTTGGTACCCAAAGTCTAGCGCCTAGACCATCCACATCAGCCTTTCTTGGGAACTTGTTAGAAAAACAGAATCTCAGGCCCCACACCAAATAGAATCTGACGGCTCGCAGGGTTTCCCAGGAGATTGGTAGGCACATGATAGTTTAAATAACTCTTCCCCACCCCACATTCAGCGATTGGCTCTGAAAGGTCGTGGGCTCAGCCTGAGGTTACACAGGAGTGAGTGGTAGAGAGTGAGTGAGAAGCCCCATCTTTGGTTTCAGTTCACTGTGCTTTTTCCTATGGCTCTTTAACTTCATGAGTAGCGAATGCCCACTGTACTCATCCTCGAAGGTAAACTTGAGTCCCTAAAACCGTAAAAATCACCACTTAACAATGATAATCATTTCTTAAACTTGCTCATTGTGGACCGCATCTCCTTAGATGAATGCTGTAACAAACACGCACAGAAACTCTTACTAAATTTTATTAGATAATAATAAAAGCACCAGAAAAGACTCTTATGCCTAGATTTAGATTTCTACACAGAAATAAATTTTCTCTGCATTGATTTCTGAAAGTGAAATTTTTTAAAGGAATACAAGATTCTAATGAGAACAACTGCTTCGTTTCAGCTAATAGCAATCTGTCTCAACTGATTTCCCCTTACATTGCTGCATTTTGGCTTTTTTCGTTCCACAGTTCAAAAAAGATAAAGTGCTGTGTTGCAAGTTGTGAATACAATGGTGTTTCTCCCTTGTTAATTTCTCTGACCTCTCTGCTATCTTGACAATGGTCACTACCCCTTCTAAAAAACCTGATTTCGGGGCGCCTGGGTGGCTCAGTCGGTTAAGCGTCCGACTTGAGCTCAGGTCATGATCTCACAGTTTGTGGGTTCGAGCCCCGTGTCGGGCTCTGTGCTGACAGCTCAGAGCCTGGAGCCTGCTTCAGATGCTGTTTCTCTCTCTCTCTCTCTCTGACCTTCCCGTGCTCATGCTGCCTCTCTCTCTCTCTCTCTCTCTCTCTCTCTCTCTCAGAAATAAATCATTAAAAAAATTTTTTTTAAATAAAAATAAAAAACCTGATTTCCTGTGGTGTCACTTTAACCGGATTGACTACTAATCTAATGTACTTCTGTAGAAAAATATATTCTTCTTCGAACATCCTTTTTTGAATGCTCTCCCAGTGCAGTTACATTAAAGCTTATTTCTCTACCCACCCTTTCTGCATTTTTCTCCACTGAGAGCTCTACCAGTCCCATGGCCTCAACTAATAACACTCACTGAGGCCACCAAAAACTATACTCACGGCCTCCCTCATCTTTGCTCATGGCCAGGTTCTTCAACTACCCACTGTACTTCTGCGCTAAGACATCTGACCCCCATCTCAAGGACAAACATTCTTAAACTCATTTCGTCTGATAACTGTGTCATTACTCCATGGTATACTCATTCTTCCTCGTACCCATGCCTGTACTGGTCAATGCTTCCGTATTTACGCTGCCTTTTGGAAGTGTATTAAGCAGTACACCTGAAAATGCTAAAGACTCATAACACTACTCAGCAAATGAACACATTTCAGGGTACAATTTCACCTACAGCATAACAATGCCTCAGTATAAAAGCAGACCGAAATATTAACACTAGGCGCCTAGTCAGCCTTGTGTCTTTACTGAGTTTGTTTTGTCTGACTTGTTTTAGTAGTCACAGGACAAAGGGCTCACTACTTTCTCTGGCTCGAGCCTCACCTCACAGTAGGCTTCTTCTTACCTTGCCGCGATATTTCTCATCACAATACATCAACAAGTATGTGGCTTGTCACCCCATATGATAAACACTGCCCTGACAGTAAGTTTCTTCAGTTGTAAGTAAAGAAAAATCCTCTGAACTTAATGGATCAAAATGAGGCAGTGCCCCCCTGTGAAGAGCCTTATATACATCAGGTCTCACGGCACACCTGGTCAGAGCCATTGCCTCAAAGGTCCATCAGCTCTACGAGGGAAAAACAGCCTTTCAAGTGATTTCCTGAATATGACAGGTGGCTGACAGCCAGTAAATATCCAACTCAATTTCTCTGATTGGTGATTACTGATCTTTTACATGCTAAGGGCTTTTAAAAAGTGGACTGGTCTGTCAGTTTGGCAATCTATACCAGCCATGACTGGTCTCAGAACTCTTACAACCCCACTTTCCTAAAAATCCAAGGGTAATCCTACTGCAACATCTGTTCCTTTATAATCATCATGGTTACTTAAGCCAATCTGAGTGGCCACGTGGACCTGCCACTGAAGACCATGACTTCACAGTGGTGGTCTTTCCATTCGCCAAGGCCAGAAACACCTGAGTTCCCCACAAAGAATTATGAGGGATCATTAGCAAGTGTGAATAGGTAGTAGGTAGCTAACGATTAGATTATATACTGAGCTCAGGTGCCTCAGAGACTGGATCATGTCTAGTGGCAACAAATCCTTCCCCTCCTTCTCAGGCGATCATTGAATGCACTATTATATCACCTGTTTATAGGTTGCCTGCTTGATTAGCTCCAGGAAAGCCAGGAAACAAAATTTACTTGAAGTAACTTTCAGATAGATGGTAGCAGGAAGAACATTTATATAACTGGGTTGTAAAATGCTGTGGTAGAATTTAATTCACTCCTTGGAAATTTATGGTTTTTAAGGCCTACATCATTGAGATAAAACACTATAGCTTCATATTATTCATATTATAGAATTCTTAGTATTTCCAAAAATACGTGCATGCATTTGTAAATATAAACATAATTCTGTTTCACATTAGATGTCACATTCTAATTCAGATACAAATGCTCAGATTAAAAACCTGATCAAGTTGGCAAACTTGTATTGTTTCAAGGCAGTAACCGAGATACCTGCTCTTTACATTCTTGTTCAAACAGCCAGAAATATGCAAGGTCAGAGGCTTAACCCAGCAGAGAGGTAGACAAGCATGACATTGGCTCTAATCAGTGTCCGTGCATTAATGCATTTTCTTGGGTTAATCTAGCTGCTCCCAAGTATGGCTCAATATTCTTCCGAAATTTTCTCATTATGTAAGAAACCTACAACTTCACCAAGACAAGTATGACGTCTATAGGAGAAGAAGTACATCTCCCTGAGGAAAATTCATCATTCACCAACAGCAGATTTTAACATCAGCTTAACAGTCACAAACACACAATTCCCAAACTACACGTCTAGTCTATACAATTCAGAACTGCACAGAGTTTATGAGCCGTGTTATTGTTTAAACCATATAAATAAAACCTACATTGTTTCGGGGAAGCTTCTGCTGTACAAATGCAGAACAGCCGGGGCTGAATAGATTCTATTAATAATGCAATATTGAGTTTGGTATTGACTTTAAGAAGTATTATCACCTCCTTGACTAACCCTTAGCTGCCAGCAGACGCTGCCTCAGGCCAGTACACACCTAATTGCTCAGTAAAAAGGCCGTTTCCCTACCTCATTGAGCCGCATGATGTGATAAATTTGCCGCAGGTACTCGCTGCCACCTGGTTTGTGGCAGATATCCAGGACCATCATGTTTATTTTCTGCTCAGTCGGTTCAAGAGCACTATCTCCTTCTTCTAAGGCTGTGCTTCTCTCCGCTGTCATAAATGCACTAAACACAAAGAAAGCATATAAGTATCAGTGGTGAAGAATTGTAAAGATGGAAAATAATCAAAGAGATTGAGTGTGGAGACTCGACGTAAATCTTATATTCAAAGCACCATAAAGACTCCTGAAATAGGTAAGCCTTCCCAAACCACCCCTGCTCATAGAAACAGCGCCTCAGGACTAAGCACCTGAAAGCATTTTTAAAAATTGAATGGTTTCTTTTAAAACACTTCTTTATTGCATTTATACTCCTATCTATAAAACATTTTCCCATTACTGCAATTGTTGAAATTGCTATAATCATGGGATGAAAACAAAACATTTCTTTTTAAGAACATGTAAGAAATAATTTGTATTTTCTCTTTGAGGACAAAAAGTATCTTTGATGCCAGAAATAGCTTTGGTGTTCTGTCTTTTGTAGACTCCTCTTTACACCTGTCTTAGAACACATTAAAGAATAATTAAAGTGTCAAAAGGGGGAGCCTGTTATACTAAATATAGGCTGGGTGCTTCCTGGAAGTGTGCTTACCACTGGGTATTTTAAATTGGCCCTTTGACACTTGTTGCATTTGAGAAATCTATGGCCCCTCTCCTGTTTCTTCTTGCTAAGGACACCTAGCAAAAGTCACTGCCCTGAATATTCTTCCAGGAAAAGGGTCTAGTAAAACCACACCAGGAATATGCAAGTTTTATTTGTGAACACTTCTAAGGACACATCTGTTTGTTACTGTTTTTGAACATTATTTACATAGTAATGATGAATGACATAATTTAAAAAATTCTCGAACTATACCAGTGCGAAAGAACTCATGATATTCAACATACGTCATGTATATCCCATTCCTGCTTTTCTTACTACATTTGATATCAGGAACATGTTAGGAATTGCAGTCTAAGTATTCTTAAGAAAATGCATGGTTTTTCATGTTTCTCAGACTAAATGAAATTTACTGTGGTGTAATCAGCTCTATACTGCAGTTCATTACTGAGATTTTGCCATGATTATAAAATTAGTTCTGCTAAGAGTCAGCGCCGCTGACCTGAAGACTGAACCAAATGATACCCAGCTGCTGGACATTAACTTTTATATTGCTTCCACATGTAGCTTCAAAACATCTTTCTTAAAAAAAAAAAAAAGAACTTTACAATTGTATATGGCTTGCTAAAAATAAAGCAAATTCTACTCCTGGAGATATTCATTAGCTACAGTAAATTTTTAGTAAACAGACAAAAAAGATTCTGTTGCAGTAAAAGGAGTTTGTAAATATCCTCTGGAAGCTGTACACAGGTTGCCAGCAAAATTTCTTGTCAGGTTTTGTTGAGGTTGACATTGAAAAAGTTGAGGCCCTCTTACAAAAGAGTGTCTCGGTGTCAGCCCCTGAATCGTATCCTTTCCTGTCCATCACTGTGCAGGTGAAGCAAATGATTGGATTCAGTCAATGCTATGATTAATGAGTTCCTCTCTGGATTTGGGACTGCCTATCAATCATGTCATTAGGGAGAATGTGCCCTGAAAGAGGCAGACCTTAGCCAAGGAATAACTGCATTAATCTTAATCTGTATATGCACCCAGCCAGCCAAGTCAGGGTCACCATGATGAAAAACAATAATCTTCAACTCGACAAATTACTTTGCAAAGACAGACATTTCTTTACTTTTTGGGCTGTGTGTTCTCCAGAATCTAAGTTGACTGTTTACAGCTTGAGTGTTACCACAAAGTGAAGGTTATTTTAATGAATAGTAATGCTTTCAGGCAGCGTGCAAGACAAGCAATGCCTCCAGCTACCACCTTTCCACTGCAGATATTTTCCCAATTTCCATAAAATCAAAATTAAATCTGAATGCAAGTGAAAGAGATCTAGCTAAATGGTATTGCGTAGTTCCAAGATGATCTTCATGGGAAATGAACACTTCATTTAGTTTAACAGAAGAATTATTTCAGTTTCAATGGTTACATTCTGAAACTTAAAATAGTTATGATAAAGCCAAGGCAACCCTCTATCTATACACAGACATCATGGTCTAAAATGCATTTTCCTACTGGTAGAGAGCTATAAACAAACTGATCATCATCAATTTGTGAGATGTGTAGAGGGGGAAGTTCACTTGTAGAACAGATAATCAACCTGAAATCAAAGTCAAGAAGTACCATCCTATAGCGCCCAAATCCTGTAAGAAGTGACCTAATGTGACTTAGTAAGTCAAATTTAACTTTTTCAAATAAATATAAAAACTAACCTTAAATCTGAATTCTTATATACTGATATTTGAGAAATTGAGGAAGACATAGCATTTGCTTATTATATGCTTCCATAATATACATGCGGGAACTTTGAGGACTGTAAAACATTTTTAAAAATCAGCAAGTCTCCATTTCGGATACATGTTCCAACAAGTAGCTAATCAGCCAAATATTAGCTCGACAGCTCCCTATTTAGGAGGTATCACAATGCAGTGGTGCTGTTAATAATTTAAACCAACTTCTAATGAAAAAATATTGTTTATGAATTCCTATGTGGCCCCAGGTACATTACTGAGACATTACTTTAAACTGACCCTATTGAAAGAGGGACTCCTAAATTAGAAGTATTAGAAATTTAACTTTATAATCAGATCCACTATTACTATTTTTTTTTTTCTCTCCTTTTCAACCACTGTCATGGATAATGACATCTGGCCTTAATCTTTCAGTCATTGAATTAAAGCCTGTAAACTGGGATTGAATACAAATGTAAAGATTAAGAAAGTTGCTTTCAGGGGCACCTCGGTAACTCAGTCGGTTAAGCATCTGACTTTGGCTCAGGACATGATCTCAGAGTTTGAGAGTTCCATCCCCATGTCGGGCTCTGTGCTGATAGCTCAGAGGCTGGACCCTGCTTTGGATTCTGTGTCTCCCTCTCTGTCACTCCCCTGCTCATGCTGTTTCTGCTTTCTCTCACAAATAAATAGACATTTTTAAAATATTAAGAAAGTTGCTTTCAGAGATATTAATCATTTGCCTGACTGTGATTGTTATTCATACCCACAGGACACACCAGAAGTAAGTTTCTAGAAGTCTCTATGACAAGACCAGGAAAATCATGATTCCCTACATTTTTTTTCAATTGGATCAATGTGAAGTCTTAAAGATTAATACAAACCAGTAAAGTTTTAGTGTAATGTATTTTAGTAGGGTTTATAAATAACAAATACTTGCTAGTTCTAAGCTTGATGCTAAGAACTTCATCAATGTTATTTAATTTTTCAAAATCACTTCATCAGCTTGGTCTCACCTCTGAAAATGAGGCTTTTAGAGATTCCGGAATTTGCCCAAGATGGCCCACTTACAAGGGATTTGTATTTGTTCATCTGATTCCAAAGCCTGAGCTCTTTGTCACTACTGCTATACACTAAAGAAACAACTTTTAGTCATTTCAGGAAGAAAGTTAAAATAGCATCTGCTAGGATCATGAATATATTTTAAAAGAATGGGGGACAGTGTGTGTGAGTGGTATAAAGAAGGGCTGGCTTAGTGATATGTACACCATATGAACTATAATTCCTTTATTAATATCATGCAGTTCTATGCTGGAGACTAATTTTAAGACAGGAGTACTCTATGTACATATTTAAATTCATCAGGGACCCTTAAAAATCTTAGCAATACCACAAATCACTTAGCTCTTGGTGACAAACCTCTGAAAAGGCTGACATTTTCATACAGAAACAGCTGGGTGTGCTTATAGCTCGAGTGTGATATGCCCCAGTTGCCCTCTGGGATTCTTACATTACCAGATGAAAAATGTGTACCTTTTTGACAATCAGGTACACAGAAAGCAATAAAAAGCCTTTTATACCCATTAATTCCTTCTTAATTTAATCTCCATGCCCAATCCATTTACAAAACGCTCCAGGCTATCCACTAGATACCTGTTTGTGCACTGAAAAGAAATGAAACCAAATTCCCTTGGGTTTAACTCCCACCCTTTTTATCAGAAACCTGAAGATGGTGAGTAAACAAGTATAATGTTCCAGGGTATCAGTGGGGTTCAAATTTTAATAAAACAAAGAACACCTAAGAATGCAGCTTTTGTTGGAATATTTACCTTTTCCTGTATTCATCAAAGTGCCCATGAAATTAATAAAGTAACCATTGTGGCCTATCTTAACAGTATTTTGTTGTTGTTTATAGGTAATTTTGTTATTGTGAACGTGTCTGATGAAATTCAGTGAAAGAAAAACATTGCTTTACCATTTGGTGCTCAGTTTCCTTGCCTTCACCAACTGGCTCTCAATCCAGTTGGGTTTCTGCTGCTCAATGATCTGCATGACCTTTTGGGCCATTTGATTAGGGTCACTTGTCTGCTTTCCCATGATACTTTCCAAACACACGCAGATTAAACCAAGTTTCTCTTTACTCCATCTGTCAAGGGAGGCACCTGTTAAAAGTTCCACAGTGTTTCCATCCTCAAATATCCGACATATAATTACAATCAAGTTCCAGACGAGGAGGCTAGCTTTCTTCAATTCAACAAAGTTTTTTGACATTTTTCTCTCAGACAGAAAAAAGAAGTATTTAATTGGGGGAGGCAAACATGCAATCACCGTAGGTAACTCGCTGATTACAATAGACACTGCCTGAGCAGCAAGCCTTGTGAAGCCTGGGGAAGAAAAGAAAGAAAAGGTATGATTAATACTAGCATTTGCATTCCACCTCTGTGTTGTTTTCAGTGTTGTGCAGGGATGTCTGATTTTTGTGGAGAAAATTGTTGAGAAGAGCAAGTGCTTGACACATTCCGACAGAACTCTTCTGGGGTCCCCTCCGATGCTTCCTAACATTCTTCAAATCTCAAACTCAGTTTTTCCTCTCTCACAAATGAAGATCAGAAAATTTTAAATGATTAGTTATATTTTTGTCTGTTAGACTGCAGGTGTAAAGGGCTCTGACATTCTCTTAATTAACAAATGCAAAGGCACTCCTGTTGGACCTCTTTGTGGTCTTCAATACTTTCTTAAACCTTTCTCCTCTTCCCTTGAAATCCATAACAGAATCATTCCAGGTCTTGTCAGGACTGGCTCCTCTCCTTCCACGTTTTTTTTTTTTTTTTTAAATGTTTGTTTATTTATTTTCAAGAAACAGAGAGAGAGAGCAGGAAAAGGGCAGAGAGAGAGAGGGAGACAGAGGATGTGAAGCAGGCTCTGCGCTGTCAGCACAGAGCCCCATGTAGGGCTCAAACCCACAAACCACGAGATCATGTCCTGAACCGAAGTTCAACACTTAACTGACTGAGCCACACCCAGATGCACCTCTTCTACTTCTTAGCATAAATGTCACTTCCTCGGGGAGCCTTCACTCACCATTCCATCCAAAGCATCCCTTCATGCTCGTCCCATCTCAGTTTAAACTTCTTCCATATCATTAGACACCATTTTGTTGCCTTTATTATAGCACTTAACCATTGTCTAATTAATTATCTCCTTAATTCTTCTTTATCTGTCACTCTCCACTAGAATATAAGCTTCATGAAGGCACTGTTATACCCTCAACATTTAGTACCTCATATATCAGTTGTTCAATAAATATTTGGTGAATAAATGGGTCAACGCACTGGTTCATGGTCACCTTTATTACTCTTCTTTGTTTCTTTATGGCCCATCCTAGTTCTGATTGATACTAACACCTCTTAAATGTAGGTAGTTGCTAAGAAGTCCTTGCCTAGTAACTGATGAATCTATACACTCTCCCTGTTTGCTGTTAAGGATCTACTGATCCTCCCTCTCTAGATCAGGGTGTCTCAACTTTGGCACTAATGACCTTGAGCTGTTTAACTCTTTGTTGGGAGGAGTGTCCTATTGAATTGTAAGATGTTATGATGTTATAGCAGCATCTCTGACCTATACTCACTAGATGCCAAGTAACATTCTCCTCAGTTGTGAGAACTTAAAAATGTCTCCAAGCATTGCGAAATGTCCCCTTGGGGACAAAATCTTTCCTTGTTGAGAGCCACTCTTCTGGATGATTCTAGAATCTTCAGTCTTGGTCTTTCTCCAGGGTAGCAATCCTACAACTTCAGCTCCCTGTTTTCCTCCCGAACTAGCTTGGCTTTGCTGACCTTCCCTTCCCCCGCCCCCCGTCCTTTCTTTTCTTCTTTCTTTTAAAATCTTTAAAAAGTTTTTAAATATCTTTATTTATCATTGAGAGACAGAGAGAGACAGAGCATGACCATGGGAGGGGCAGAGAGAGAGGTAGACACAGAATATGAAGCAGGCTCCAGGCTCTGAGCTATCAGCACAGAGCTCAACATGGGGCCCAAACCCACAATTTGCGAGATCATGATCTGAGCCGAAGTCAGACGCTTAACCAACTGAGCCACCTAGGTGGCCCTTAAATCTTTTAAATAGTAACCATGTGAATAAATCCTCCTACCCCTCGTCTGACATAGTTTCACCCCACTGTAACCATGGCTACCGACCTATTAAAGCCGTTCCTTACAAATGTTAGCTGGACTACTACTGTCTTCTCCTAACTCATCTCCCTGCTTCATACTATGCCCAGCCTCTTTCCTGTGTTGTGAAGCCAAATTCACATACTGTAACATTTGTTATGTAATTTCTCTGCCACAATTGTTTCGGCTGTTTTCCACTGTTACAAGATCAGTCTCCAGAGTGTTGCTGTGAAAACACTCCACAGTCCAGCCTCTGCCAGTTTCTGTAAACCTTATCTTTATTTTACCCTCACTGCTTTTACTTCTGAATATCTCATCACTCTCACATGGACTGCCCTTTCTCTCCATGCATCATCCATCTTCTTCAACTCTTGGTTCAAAGTCCTCTCCTCTCATGAGTTTATTTGAACATACTCTCTACACAACCACTTTGGTAATTAGGTCCATAATGTGCCATGCTGTCATCTTTTACATTATCACCTATTATTGTTTATGTTATTGGTCTTGCTGAGTTGTCTTTACAACTAGACTAAAACCTCCTCAAGAGCATGGAAAAAAAAACAAACCATCAGTCCTTGACTATCCCACAAAGCCAGACACGGTCTTTTAACCTACTACATACATGACTGAATTTGAAAATTGGAACAAAGTGCAAGTCAAAAGAAGGTAGCTTTGTGTTCTTCCATGAAAATTCTTTACTGTTTTTACTAAACAAAAATAATAAAACAACATGAAATATTTTTCAAAATACTTGTGACATTTAAAGAAGTCACTCTGCTCTAAAAAAGTATGAAGCTTTTGGAAAACATATGTCTAGTCTAGTGACTCCACAGAAACTCATGACAACTTAAGAATCATGTTAAAAATGCACTGGAATAGTCTTTGTAAGTTTGTAAAATTGGACGCAACATATATTTGAAAGATCTCATAAGACTATTGTATTAAATAAAATAATGAATTTGAAAATACCTAGCTCAGTACTTGGTAAAAAATAGTTCCTTGAAAAATGCTTTCCTTTTATCAGATGAATATGCTTAGATGAAGCTTAAAATATGGATAAAGCAAATTAAGAAATTCCTCTGTGACCACTCTTCTCTGTGTTCTTAAATTATTTTAAATGTTTTGTTGTTCGTTATATGTTTGTGTCATATAGTCCCTATTCTATGCTGAAGCATTTGACTTAAAAGATTATATCTTATGTTCTGTTTATTCAAAAGAGGGCTTAACTGCAGATACCAAGGAAACATTTGACAATCTAAGTAGATATCAGGTAAAGATTACCAATTCTCTTCACACCTACACTTCTATGTATACTTTAGAAAATCTGAGGACTCCAGGTACTCAGATCCTCACTACTTCATTAAAGTTTACAGCAAATTCCTATCAGAAACTTAGGCTGATGTCAGATTAATAAATCCATTCTACTAATCACAAAAAAATGTGAGTCTGTGATGATATTAATAACACACCAGGGAGGGATCTTTTAAGAATGCCAAACACTCATTTTTCTGTCCTTATCTAAATGTTTTGGCTTCCAACTAAGAATTCTCTTGTACACTCCCTGAGGTGTTTGCACCCATTTCAAACCAATTTTACTAGTCTTCAAGCACCAAGAGAAGGTACTTTCTTTATAGTTTATCTCTAGCCTCAACTGAAGTGCTTGGTATGTAGTAGCAGCTCACTTAGTAAATATCTATTGAATGAATAAGTGACTTAATGTCAGGCCAGTAAATATAATCTGTCTTATATACTGTAGTGATAATAAAGGTTGAGCATTTTCAGTCTAAAAGAGGTCAGAGATGGAGAATCATGGCATTTTCCTATTGTCATATCCACCGGAATGCACAAAATGGTTTATAAAGTCACTTTCCTACACCATTATCTTTTACACATTTATGTGACTTGGCACCTCTTTATGGTTGTCCATTGTATAAATATTGTACTTCTACTCTTAGTGATAGTAGGATAGGAGAATATTACTTAGGAAAATCACAAAAACTGATATCTACAAGTAAGCATTTTTTGGAACCAGAAGTTCTTTGAGATGTTAGGGAAGGGTTCCAGAATGCTGTAGAAGGCAAAATTGATCATGAATAGAATTACTTGAAAGCTACCAACAAAATAGCACTACTTATACAGCATGATATATTAACTACAGATGATGCCTCCTGAATTGCTCAAAATCTATGAAATATCCAAAAGCTAGAATGAAGGAGAAATGGCAACCACTCAGACAAGGAAGAACTTAAGTAATGAAAAGCTGACATTTTCCAATTGCAATTAAATGGCTTCACTAGATTCAAAGGCAGTTTAAAAGGGCTTGGACAGAATTAAAGCATTACTATGAAAGGTCAAAGATAGATAATTGATTTGAGTTTGTAATATAAGGTCATTAGATAAGAGCCACATTAGTTAGGATCTCCATAGAGAAGAATGAAAGAAAGGCTAGTCTCTTCAATTGACTTAGTAAGTTCAGTTGGAATACTTTACCATTGAAAGTTTCCTCAAGTTAATGAAAAAATATCCTTCTTTAAAGATTAATATGAAGGGAAAAGTTTTATTTTAAAAATCCTAAGAAGATTCATTAATATGTCTACATAATATACATAATAAAACATTACATATTTCATAATGCAGAAACACGTAGGTACAAAGAAACCATTTAAGAAGAGAGCACTAAATTAATCAAATAAATCAATAATATAACTCACGGTTCTAAAATACACTTAGTAGATTCACTACCCTTAATAGGAACAATGAATGGAATTCAGAACCATAGGTACTGGGGAAATTACTCTGCCAAGAAATTATGTAGGTACTAAATGTGGTGCTATTTTTGACCTAAAGGCTACACAAGTAGGTCTGTTAACAAAAGAAAAGAAAGTAATAGTTAGTGGTGGCAGAGGGAAAAACTTCAAGGAAAGAATATTAAACTGAACATCAGAGCAATCTTCTTGAGAGTATGAACTGTAGATTATGAAACAGATTTGAGGTAAGCTACAGATTTGAGCTACAATCACTGACTGATATGTGAATACTAACATGAACACAACGTATCACAGAAAATTCTGAGCTGTCAGTTAAATAAAGATGATGGCAATTTGAGTCATTTTCCTTGGTCATAAGGTTCATGGTAAAAAAAAAAAAAAATTACAGGTCCCAAATACACAGAAATGACAGGAAAAGGACTAACATAGTTTAGAAATCTCAAAATTTTTTAGAATTTTACTTACTTTCATATCTTTTAAAATTGCTTCTTCAATGATGTGTTCCTACTAAAAAAAATAAAATAAAATAAAATAAGGTACCTTTGCTTGAATCTTTCTTCTGAGTTTCTTTTGGAGTATAATTCCATTCCTTTGGAATGCTCTCACACAAACATTCAGGAACACTGTGCCTGTTTGGTTTGGCCCCACGGTCTCTCCCAGACCTCATCACAAATACTATCTGCTGTACAATGTCCTTGATAGCATCAGTCAGTGCCAATCTCAAGCATCGGATGACCTCTGGCTCGGACTCCATGCACGTTGAGACTTTAAAATCAGACAGCATATTATAGTTAGCAGAGTCTGGCAATATTTTGTGTCTTATTCAACTGGAATTCAGTTTCTCATTATCTAGTTTAAAGCTGTAGAAAAGAATAGCTATTTTTTACCTTGAAATCATATAACTAATAAATAGTCCATAAACATTTGGGAAAAAAACTTTCTTCCTACTAATAAAGAAAATGGCAATTAAAATAACAGGAAATAATAGTATTTGCTAGTGTTTTGGAACTCTATGATGGAAATATAAGTTGTATGATTTTCTTAGATGATAATTTCGCAATAATATCAAATTGTTAACATTTTACTTACCTGTTAACTCGCTTATTCCTTCTCTAGAACTTTATCCTAAGAAATTAATTATAATCATGTAAAGGATATAAAGGAAAATTGAAAATAATCTTAATGTCCAATAATCATCAGTTATTTGTTTAAGTAGCTAAGGTATATCCATCTATACAACAAAGCCATATATTGTTTAGTAAAAAATAAAGTAAAGACAGGTTAGGAAAAATATGACATGCTATTTTCATTAAATACACCACACACACAAACACACACGCACACACACACGAATTATAAGATGAATTCTCCCTGTTAATGGTGATTATCAATGCCTGATGGGATTTCAGGTATTTTCCTCCTCCTTTCCTTTTTCTTCTTTCACTTTCGTTTCTTTTCTATCCTCCCATCCTCCATTTTTTCTTCTTTCTGCCACTCACCTTCTTTTTCCTAATACATAGTACTCACCATGAATATGTATTACTTGTGTGATAAATACAATAACATTTTATTTATTTTATAATATATCAGGAAAGTCTTGGGATAACCACTTGAATCAATACAGAAAGGTACACATATGTTTTTTTACCCTCAAATTTTGAGATGATATTTCTTATTTACTTACTTATGTATTTATTTATTTATATAATCTCTATGCCCAACATGGGGCTCAAACTCATGACCCTGAGGTCAAAAGTTGCATGATCTTCTGACTGAGCTGGCCAGGCACCCCAAGGTAATATTTCCCCAGTGACTCAATCCATTATTAAAACCCGCATGCTGGGGCACCTGGGTGACTCAGTTGGTTGAGTGTTTGACTTCTCCTCAGGTCATGATCTCATGGTTCATGGGTTCTAGCCTCATGTCAGGCTCTGTGCTGACAGCTCAGAGCCTGTTTTCAATTCTGTGTGTGTCTCTTTCTGTCCCTCTTCCACTCATACTGTCTCTCTCTCAAAATAAATAAATAAACATTAATAAAAAGAAAACCAGTAGGTTGAAGAGGATATGAGTAATATCCAATATAGAGTTTAATTTTTTAACATGATGAAATCATCAGGCACACTGTTGCTGTTTATGGTGAAGGATATAGCAGGCTATCTTTTTAAATGATGCCTCAAGACTTTAATTCATTGAAAGGAATAAGGAAGCCTTCTTCCTATATCTATAATTAATAGTTATTTTGGTTGAATGCTTTGAAGTCATGGATTAAATACCTCTCAGGTATCTAAAAATTCTAGAAAGCAAGAAACTCCTCTATTTCCTTTGGTTAAAAATGTAGGTTTATTTACTTTTTTTTTTAAATAAAATCAAGGTGAGGCACCTGGGTGGCTCAGTCAGTTAAGTGTCCTACTTTGGCTTAGGTCATGATCTCATAGTTCATAAGTTCAAGCCCCATGTCGGGTTCTATGCTGACAGCTCAGAGCCTGCTTCAGATTCTGTGTCTCCCTCTGTCTCTCTCCCTGCCCTGCTCCCACTCATGTTCTGCCTCTGTCTCTCAATAAATAAATAAATGTTAAAAATTTTTTTGATGTTTAAAATAAAATCAAGATATTACAAATGATAGAGAAAATAACAATCTTATCTCAAACAATTATTTTAAAATTATATGAATTAATTTGTGTTAGGCAACTGGCACATAGTAGGCACTATGTACACCATGTAAGTATATGTTATTATTATTATTATTAAAGAGGAATTTTCTGTAAAGTTTGCAATACTATAGTATAGGGTGCCCCGTGTTTTTATGACAGGGTTCTGAAACAAGTTGAGCATAGAATAGTATAGAAAGGATCAAGTAATATCCACAGATGCCTATAGTAGGGATAAGATATAGATCTAGCAAGAAGAGAAGGAAAAATAGGAAGAAGAGGGGAATAGAGAAGAAAAAGAAAAGCAAGTGACAAGCCCTTCTGGTTTCCAGCTCTGCATATAAAGAGCTAAGAAGTCACCACTATGTCCTAATAACAAGTAAAAAGCTGAACAGATGGAAAAATCAACAACTCTTCTTGGATGTGTAGAGAGGTGGGGACACAAGGCAAACTATGGCCCCCGAGATTGGAGTGGCAGACGGTAAATACAGGGAGTCACAGCTTACTGGAGTGGAGACTCATAAGCAGAGCCTACCATGGGAACCAGTGCCGAGGTAGGAAGTCTGAACTGTAATTGATGAATTGCTAGAGGCTCAGTGTGGACAAGTCTGAGAGCTGAAACTCAAGCAGGACCCTGTTATGTGGAGGCTGCCCCACTTTTGTGAGTTTTACCTCTGTGAGTTCAACTAGGTGTCCATAGTAAATGTCAGAGAAAAATCCCCAAGAACTTCCGGCAAGGGAAGATAAAAAAGAACATTTTGAAATAAGTCAGAGCACTCTGTTCTTCAGGGCTGCCCTCAGGAGAAACTACTGAAATAGAGCCTAGCCCACTGGAGTATTATCAGAGCCTAACTGACCTAGAAGAAGGGAAATACCCAATTCCAGCCCATTCTAGCTGTACTCTCCAACATAAAATGGGAGAAAAACGCTGAGAAACACTTGTGAAGTACACCGTCCAGAGGCAAAGGTCCTCTAAAAGATCTGATCATAGGACTATAGAATGCTTCCCCTCCCCACCCCCACCCCCACTTCACCACATCACTAAAGCCCTCTTCAGAGCAGTTTCTTTTTACCCACCATATCATGTCCAGGTTCCATGAAAAATTACAAGACAACTAAAAGGCAAAGAACACAATTTTGAAAGGAGAAAACATCAGAAACAGACATGAAAATCAGAATTACCAGGTCAGGAATTAAAATAACTTTCATTAATGTGCTAAGGGCTCTAATGGATAACATAGACCTCATGCAAGAGCAAATGGGCAATGTAAGTAGAGAATGGAAATCTTGAGAAAGAACCAAAAAGAAATACTAGACATCAAAAATACTGTAACAAAAATGAAGAATGCCTTTCAGGGGCTTACTAGTAGACTGGACATAGCTGGGAAAAGAATCTCTGAGCTTGAGGATATCTCAATAGGAACTTCTAAAACCCAAAAGCAAAGAGATCAAAGTTAGGGAAAAAAGAAGAAGACGAAGAAGAAGACGAAGAAGAAGACGAAGAAGAAGAAGACGAAGACGAAGACGAAGACGAAGAAGAAGAAGAAGAAGAAGAAGAACAACAACAACAACAACAACAACAACAGAATATCCAAGGACTGTGGGACAACTACAAAAGAGGTAATATGTGTAATGGGAATAACAAAAGGAGAAGAAAGAGAAAGGATCAGAAGAATTATTTAACACAATAATGACCGAAAACTTCCCCTCGAATTACTATCAAACACAAACCACAGATCCAGAAAGCCCAGAGAACACCAAGCAGAATAAATACTTAAACCTATACCTACACATATCATTTTCAAACTACAAAAAAGCAAAGGCAAATAAATCCTGAGAAAGCCAGAGGAAAAAAAAATGACCTTACCTATAGAGGAACAAAAGTAGGGATTAACATCCAGCTTTTCATAAACCACGCAAACAAGAAGAGAGTGGTGTGAAATATTTAAAAGTATCAAGGGGGAGAAAAGAACAACACCTAGAATTCTGTACCCTGCAAAAGTATCCTTCACAACTGAAGGATAAATAAAGATTTTCTCACACAAACGAATATTGAAGACATTGGTTGCCAGTAGACTTGTCTTACAAGAAATGTTAAATAAAGCTTTTTAGAGTAAAAGGAAATAATGTAAGAGTGCAAACTCAGATCTACATAAAGTAAAAAAGATATTGAAGAAGGAATAAGTGTAGGTAAAATTTAAAAAATTAATTTTTCTTATCCATAATTGATCTTACAGATAAGCTTGTTCAAAATAATAATACCAACAAGTATTCACTTATGTACATATGTTATACATAACTGTACAAAAGTGGAGTCCCTTGTGACCACTGTGAGATCTCAGGTTCCAGAAAATATTCAAGACCCAGAGGATACTTAATGTTTATGAAGAAACAGTTTATACAAAAACCAAGGATATTTCACCAATCTGAAATTCTGATCCTTTAAAACACTCCACACAACTCAGACTGTATTAATTTGTGTAACACCTGTTTCAAGAGACTTATCTGATCATGTGGAGAAGGGTTTGCTCAATGTGTAGATGAAGAGAAGACTAATTAGGAGCAAGTAGCAGTGTCACTTTCTCATGGCAGCACCTGAAGGCCATTGGTATCTTCTAGGTCATTTTCAGTACAGTGTTGTGCTAAGTGTCAAAATGGTTCAAGAACTTAAGAGTTGAAGGACAGGGGCACCTGAGTGGTTCAGTCGGTTAAGTGTCCGACTTCAGCTCAGGTCATGATCTCACGATTCATGGGTTTGAGCCCCGTGTCAGGCTCTGTGCTGACAGCTAGCTCAGAGCCTGGAGCCTACTTCAGATTCTGTGTGTGTGTCTCTCTCTGACCCTCCGCTGCTCACTTGCTCTTTCTCTCAGAAATAAATAAAAAAACATTTTTTAAAAAATTAAAAAAAGAAGAGCTGAAAGACAAATAGTGGTTGAAGCATGTGGATCACCAATTCTTTATAATCTTGCGAGAGAATTAGGCTCTCACTTCACCCAAATAGCTATAAACAACAAGGGTAGAATGGCTTTCAAGGCTATTTCTTTTTCAGTTCCATAAAGTCTACATCAGAAATAATTCAGACTTTTTAACTGGAAAACTCTCCCTCCTTTGTGTAAAGAGATCACAGTAGGAAATACATGGAAACTAGGAGATAAAATTTTATGAGGAGATAGTTATTACAGAGTCTTAAGTGATAGATTCAGGTTTTAAAAATCATTATACAGTTATCTATTACTATTTTTCAGGGATAATGACCAAGAGAAGATGGAACATAATAACCTTAAACTAGCTAAAAAGATATTGAAGTAACGTCTAGAGGATAGTCAGAGTCCAGGAAGAGTGAAACCATGAATATGAGCAAGTTAGATTTTTTTATATGGGTCTTAGCAACTATTTCATGGAAATGTAGTTTCCAAAACAGTGTATAAAAATGTTTATAGGTTTAAAGCCAAGTTTAAATGATATAAATGGTTAAGGGACTAACAGTATAACCACTAGGTTCTCATTTTTGTTTCCCCAAGATATTAATAAATATGTAATTTAAAGACAAGATATTAAGTATAAAACAAGGTGAGTATCTTCACTTGGCCCTGAGGTAGGGCAACCCATGAACACTTTCTAGTTAGATATATAATCTCCTTTGGTTTAACATCCATTCTAGCAGTAGGCAGAAGAACAATACAAATGGAAAAACATATTGGTCCCAAAGCAACGAGAGGATGTGCTTGCCTTAGAGAGACATGGGCACTGGGGTCATAATAATAAATGCCTTTTATGTTTAAAGAAAATGACTAGCAGTTGTGTCCATCAGTTTGTCAAAAAATGCATCCAAGAATAACATGTCACTAATGTCTTACTCGCTCAATAGCAAAACAAAATCTATGATAAATATTAAACTACATTTTTTTTAAATTTTTAATGTTTTATTTATTTTTGAGAGAGAGATAGAGATAGCGTGAGCAGGGAAGGGTCAGAAAGAGAGGGAGACACAGAATCTGAAATAGGCTCCAGGCTCTGAGCTAGCTGTCAGCACAGAGCCCGACGCGGGGCTCGAACCCACGAACCGCGAGATCATGACCTAAGCGAAAGTCGGACGCTTAACTGACTAAGCCACCCAGGCGCCCCTAAAATTCGTTTTTATGAGGTGACACTTCCTAATAATAATTTAAAAAGAAAATCTGCATTACATAATTTCTCCCCCTCAATCTACCTTGTCCCAAGTATATTATATTTGATTAGACCTAATGGTTAATGATTCCCCAAAGAAACTGTTACGTTGAAAAAAAAATGTATGATAAACTTTTAAAAATAATAGACTCGTCAAAAGTGACATCAATAAAACTTTCAAAGCATCTTTAGGATATATTTAAGTATCTATAAACACTTCTTTTACAAACAGTAAATTTTTCATACCTGGAATGTTATATAGAAAGTCCCATAATTGTTCTTCTTCCATGTAGCTCACGAAAACATTTCCAAATGTTTGTGGAGAAAAATTGCAATGGTACAATACTTTAAAGATGGTTTCTATTAAGCTGGATCCTTGGTTCAGATTATTATCTGCATCAGAACCTTGTTCTTGAAAGGTACGTTCTTGGAAAGAATAAAATTGATTTAGTAAGATAGGTATCAGTGAATGTGATTAAATTCTTGTCACTTACCCAAGCATAATGCAGTAAAACTGTATCTGATTAATATTTACATAATAAGAGAAACGCTGTATTCTTTCAGAGTAAGGCCCACCTAACCCAACATTGTTACTGAGACACTTCAGATATTTGTAGAGGGGGGAATGTGAGAAGGGTCACAATGACATGACCTCAAAGGGCAAGGATAGTTTCCCTTTATGTCAGAATTCTTTTTCTTTTCCTTTTTTTTCAATGTTTTTTTTAAATTTATTATTGAGACTGAGAGAAACAGAGCATTAGTGGGGGAGGGGCAGAGAGAGAGCAAGACACAGAATCTGAAACAGGCTCCAGGCTCTGAGCTGTGAGCACAGAGACCAACGTGGGGCTCGAACCCACAAACCGAGAGAGCGTGACCTGAGCCGAAGTCAGACGCTAAACCGGCTGACCCACCCAGGTGCCCCAGAATTCTTTTTCTCTTAAAGAAACTTTTGTTGATTCCTTTTGTCATTTAAAATTAACATATATTCATTCTAGAAATTGTAAAACAAAAAACTCCAGACAACTAAGAAAATTAATATTGTACCAAATCCCACTAATCAGTGATAGTCCATATATGGTGCAGTGTTTCATTTGTATTAGGAACAGATGTATCTAATTGAATCTAAGTGAATATATGTATGTATAACTTGAACACCAAATAGAATTATTCTATACACATTTTTTGTTATCTAAAACCTATTTAAATCCAGTTGAATCTTTGTAGCTCTCTTCTGTATTTGTGTTCTGTGTTGTACCCTTTATTCAGAACATAAATTTTATGGAAATTTTAGTTATAATCTTCTCAGAATTATGCTTTAAATTCTACAAGTAAATTTACAAATGTTTCTCAAACCCACAGGCCCTGTCATTAAAGAGTGAAGAGGTTCAGGGGCGCCTGAGTGGCTCAGTCAGTTGAGCATCTGACTTGATTTTAGCTCAGGTCATGATCCCAGGGTTGTGGGATGGAGCCCCGTGCTGCCTGCTTTAGATTCTCTCTCTCCGTCTGTCCCTTTCCCCAATTCCCATCCACACATACTCTCTCTCTAAAATAAAATTTAAAAACTTAAAATTGAGAAAAGAGAAAAGAGTGAAGAGGTTTTTCTGTAAAACTATTTAAGGAATTCCCACAAAGACAGAGCCACTTTAAATATCTTGAATAAATACAATCTAAATCATTTTGGAATGAGTACATTTCTTCTCCACGCTCATTTGGAATCTTATCACTTTTATGTTTCTTCTTGATAATTTTATCTCTGTGATTTGATTCTCATTATCTAGAGAACCCTTCTCAAGAATTTTGCTAGGACTACTGATAAAGTGGCATTCCCTTTCCAATGGGGCTGCAAAGCTGATAGAAAGTAAACCAGAAGTTACTGATGGCTACTTGGGGGAAGACCTGACTGAGAATAAATCCAATACAGTAAGACGCGGAACCAAGAGACAGACTGTTCCTGGGCACCTGGGTGGCTCAGCTGGTTAAGCAACTGATTTCAGCTCTGGTCATGATCTTATAGTTCATGAGTTCAAGCTTTTCATCGGGCTCTGTGCTGACAGCTCAGAGCCTAAAGCCTTCTTCAGATTCTGTGTCTCCCTCTTTCTGCTCAAGCTCACTCTCTCTCTCTCAAAAATAAGCATTAAAAAAAGAGAGAGATAGAACATTCCTGATGATATGACACTGAGAACCTGGATCCAGAAATGCCTATATTTATGTTAGCTAAGCTGATATACATTCCCCTTTATGGTAAACCAGGCTAATTTGGGTTTCTATAGCTTTTAGTCTAAAGCATAAAAGGTTAAAGGATAAAGAGTTCTAACTAGGCATTCATATTTCCATCTTTTTCATTCAAATAGTTTTGGCAGTTGTCTGCCTTTCCCACCCTCCACTTCCTCTGACATACAACTATCAGTTATCCTTCTTGTCATTCCCCCACGTTTAAACCTTCCCCTGGTCCTCCATTTTGTTAGAAATTCCTGAGCCTGACTCTCAGGAGTTTCTACAATCTTTCCCCAAGTTATAGTCCAAACCCAAACATCTGTTCCACACAGACTGGTTTACTTGCCCTATCTTATAAATGTTCTCTCCCATCTGATTTTGTTTGTTTATGCTATTTCACTAGTCCAGAATGTTCTCCTTCAATAAAATCCCTATGGTTTAATTAATCAATTAATGTGTCAGCAGTCATATTACACTAGATGCTGAGGTCTATGCTTTCCAGGGATTTACCCACTGTGTATATGTGTATAGGTTTGTGAGCAGAGGGAATGAGAGATAGGTAACCAACCGTTACAGCAATGTAAGGATAAGTACGGTAACCATACACCCTGCTTTTCTTGGGGCACTCGGTTTAAATCTGTTCTTCTGGCATAATTACCAGTAGCATCCATCCTCTTTTAAAAGTGTCCAAGTTTTGGGTACCTGGGTGGCTCAGTCGGTTAAGCATATGACTTATGTTTTTATGACTCAAGTCTTATGGTTCTTGAGTTCAAGTCCTGTGTCAGGGTCTGTGCTGATAGCTCAGAGTATGGAGCCTGCTTCTGAATTCTGTGTCTCCCTCTCTCTCTCTGCCCTTCCCCCATTCACACTCTGAGTCTCTCTCTCTCTCTCTCTCTCTCTCAAAGATGAATAAACACTAAGAAAAATTAAAAATATAAAGTATCCAAGTTTGGATGACCAATTATTCAATCATCCCAAACCTAAGTGATTTGAGTATAAGGCACTGTGAGAATATAGATGACACTTTAAATTTTTACAGAGAGCACAGAGAAGACCATGTATCAGCTATCTCTTTAAGGAAGAGTAGAAGTTTATAAGCATGACAAGACTTAAGCATGGCTTAAGTGTGCCAGCTATGAGGGAGGTGGGAGATGAAGCTAAATGATGGACACAGCATGAGTAATCTAAGCCTCCATGAACTGTGCAGTGACAATACAGCTGGAGAAACGGGGTGGGGCATGAGGAATAATTACAATAAAAATACTAATTATTGCTGTTATTACCATATAAATGTATCAAGATGCTTCAATGAAATATGATTTTAAATTTTTTCTCTCTTCTCCTTTGCCCCAAAACACAGTAAGCTGTTCCTGTATAATTGCCTCAGAAGGTTTTCTTATTGGAAAAGCACAAATGGACTGAAGTCAGTTGCCCTCCTAGATTTATAGAAGAAGAAGAAGAAGAAGAAGAAGAAGAAGAAGAAGAAGAAGAAGAAGAAGAAGAAGAAGAAGAAGGAGGAGGAGGAGGAGGAGGAGGAGGAGGAGGAGGAGGGGGAGGAGGGGGAG